TATCCACACATATGTATGTATATAATGTTGTTTGCAAAATTGATTAAGTATTCAGCCTGATATTTTATCACGTAAATAAAAATAAAGCAAAGATAAAAAAACAAAGCTTTATTCAACTTTTAATAAATGTCATCATCACAGGTTATTTTTATACAGAATGAAGTTTTCTATTTTGGCTTAAGTTAAAGTCGTTAATTACTTTGGAAATGTCTATTTATCAATACTCATTTCTATAGCCAAAAGAGCTAACAAGGACTTGTAAATTTTATTTTACAATTGTTTGTTTAGTATTAATATTTTTACTTTTAATTTTTTTGGTGGCAAAATACCTGGTTAGACAATTCTGAAAGTAAAAAATCAATCAATCATACTAAGTGGTAAATCAACTATACCGTTGAGTCGACCGAATAGAGGCAAAATATTTATACCCTGTGAAGCTCCTACTTACCAGCAAAGAGCGTAATCTATTTACCTACTATACAGGGTGTCCGGGAAAAGGAAGTCAATCCGTTAACCATATATTCTTTGAGTTAAAACAATAAGACTTTCATAATACCATTTTTCAATTTAGAGCTTCATGTTCGATATACAGGGCGACAAAGTTTAAAATTTAAAACTGATTTTTTTTAATAATTCGAGTAATTGATAAGATATTAAGTTCAAATTCGGTACACTACTTCAACATAAATAGTTACATTTTTTGAGACCAACAAAACAAAAAACAATTGTCAAATAATCAAAATAGGGGGGTCCAGTACTCACTGACTCCCCCTATTTTTTAGTACGTGCGCCAATGATTTCCAAACGGTATTTTTTCAGGTAATCATTTATTGTTAAACAAATTTTGTCTCCTATAAAATTTTGATAAAATGATTTGTTTTAGAGATAATTTGTAAAGTATGGGTCAGTCCATATCAAATCAACCAAAGGTTCTTCCCCCACCATCTCCGATTTTGATAATTTTTGGTAAATTTGTTTACCTCACTAAAAAACTCAAAAATCCCATATATGAATTTTTTTCGATGGGTGGTTTTTGTTTTATTGATTTTTAAAAATCAAAAAATTCCGATAAATTTTGGTTTTGCAAGTACTTACAAAAATAGCGATATCTCCTAAACTATTAAAAGTAGAAAGGTGAGTGATGGCAGGTACATAGAAATGTAAATTTATTTATAATGATATAAAAAATATACAAACGAAATAAAGGCTCTCTAAAAGAAACTAAATGTAAGTCTTAAAAATATATAATTAAACACTTTTATTAGATAGGTACCTATAGATACCTATAGGTATATATATATGTACCTAGGTATAATAAAGCAAAATTAAAATTAAATAAACATTTAAAAAACGCAAATAGCATTCAGGGGGCCAATTTTTGAGAGTGTACGTTTATTTGCGAATACTCTCAGTTGCGCACGACATAAATCGTATACGTTTCTATTTATCAATTTTTGAACGCCATGCGCAAAACAAAATAAGCCCAAGTTAAGTCTTCGCATTTATGCGAATGATAAATCAGGCAACGTTTTAAATTGGGGTGCGTTTGAACTATTTTTTTTTTATTTTATTTATTTATTGTATATTTCATTGTATAATGGTTTAACCAAACAGTTCTATGATTCAATGTCCTCACCCTATTAAAAATGCCATATAGAAACACAAAATAAAAATCTATCTGGTTCAATATAGGAATTTGAAACAGGCATTGCACTATTGAACCAGATATAATTCCATACCTGGAAAACCATATAGAAAAGTGATTTCTATATGGATTGCCATATAGGTTCATATTGCTCTATCTGGCCCAATATGGTTTGGGTGTGAAAAAATTATTACCATATAGATCCATATTTAACCATATAAGGGAATCTATATGGTTTAATATGCAATTTTCGTTTAAAAATATATACATTTTAAAATGGAATTCCATATTCAACCATATAGGGAAACCTATATGGAAAGACACATAAAACAGAAACCAGATAAATCCATATAAAAATCCCTAAGTTGTACATTTTAAAATTAAATTCCATATTAAACCAAAGTGTAAACCAGGTCGTTCCATATAGGACATATAGAACCATATAAATCCATATTAGTTTCCTTATATGGATCAATATGGGTTCTATAGGGCATTTTTAATAGGGCAGTAATTTATACCACATTAGTTCGTTTTCTTTATAATTTTTTGTTTTGCAGGAATTTTGAGTGTTTTAAATTAAAACTTTAATTCAAGTTATCTTTTAAGCCTTTTTGAATCTCACTGGTGGACTTTATCCCATAGTTATAGGTGGTTGTAACCACTTGATTTATGTAACTTTAGCTATTGCATCTAGGAATATTAATGGATTCATCACTCCTAGGCGCGAATTTTCAAGACAACCGAAACCCGCTAATTTTTAAAAATCATCTCTTCCACATCTAAATGAATATTGAAATAAAACCCCAAAAGCTCAAATTAAAAAATCTTCAATATTAACCACAAATTTTGAAAAACTTTCATTACATCACAAACTCAAATTTAAAAAAATATATCCCTCCCAAGGGCAAATTTTAAAAAACAATACCGTAAAAACGGGTGGCTTTAGCTCACTTTCAAACTTAAGCTTAAAATTTTTGTGGTTTTAACAATCATAAACATTAAATTTTGTATACCAAAATTTGAGTCTTGAGTTGCTCTTTCATAATAACTATGTTATAATATTACATAGGGCTGAGTTTCAAAAATAAAAATTAAAAACTGGGTGTGCAAAAGACACTTAACCTTATTTCCATGCACATAACGTATACGTTTGTGATATTTAGCGAGTATTTCGCCGCTCGCAGTAAAACGTATGAAAATTTGCGTATACGCAAAGATGCGATGGCTCAAAAATGAGATTTGTTACAAATCGTACACCCTAGATTCTAGGGTGTTGTTTCAATTAGTTTTTTCTAAGATACTTTGGGTTACTTTGCCAGGGGGCCAATTTTTGACCGTTCGTAACTCTTGAAAGCGTTCGCAAATGTACGATTTGTAACAAATCTCATTTTTGAGCCATCGCATCTTTGCGTATACGCAAATTTTCATACGTTTTACTGCGAGCGGCGAAATAGGGCCTAGATAAACAACACGATTACGTGTTAACCTAGTCCTCCTAAAACAATATCAAGGCAAAATATGTCTAGCCATAGTTTTAAAATATATAAACACTTCACTTACCTTACAAGTTGATTCAGAAAAAAAACACAATTTTGAAAAAAAAAGGTATTTTGCAAAAAAACCGTTAGCTTGCCGGCGTTTAAATTCGGTTAAATATGTAAACATAACCTATACTTTGTTGCCCTGTGCTCAATATAAATAATAATAATAATATTAATAATAAGTGTTGCTTGTTTGGACTCGATCAAATGTATGTTAAACCAGTGGCGGCTGGTGGATTTTGGGTATACCAATATTTCAGTTATTAGACATGGGACCCACATCAAATTTATATGAGTTTATAATGACATTATATAGACAAGTTCTGCGCAACTAGAATTTAAATTAAAGTTTGCGAAAAAAAGTTAGTTTTTAAGTGCAACCCCCAGCCTCCTGCCCCTCCAAATTAAGATAATTCAAATTAAAGCGGTACAATATTTAATTCACTGAAGTTGATCGACAAATTTTAAATTTTATTAAAAAAATTCAAGAATTACAGGTTTTATACCATTTATAATCTTTATAATTTCTATTACTAAATTTTAAAAAATTTGAAATGGCATAAAATCTGTAATACTTGAATTTTTTTAATAAAATTTAAAAATTTTCGATAAACTTCAGTGAATTAAATATTGTACCACTTTAATTTGAATTATCTTAATTTGGAGGGGCAGGAGGCTGGGGGTTGCACTTAAAAACTAACTTTTTTTCGCAAACTTTAATTCAAATTCTGCTTGCGCAGAACTTGTCTATATAATGTCATTATAAACTCATATAAATTTGATGTGGGTCCCATGTCTAATAACTGAGATATGGGTGTGCCAAAATCCACCAGCCGCCACTATAAATTTGGTGTGGGTCCCATTGGGACCCACACCAAATTTATAATAGTTTATAATGACATTAAATAGACAAGTTCGGCGCAAACAGAATTTAAATTGAAGTTTGCGAAAAAAAGTTAGTTTTTCCTTTCGCCTCACCCGCCTCCAGGCCCCCCTATTTAAGATAATTCAAATTAAAGTGGTGCAATTTATTATCTACTATAATTTATCGACAAATTTAAAATTTTACTTAAAAAATCCAAATATTATAGGTTTTATACCATTTTAAATATTTTTTTATTTTATCAAAATAAATATTAAAAATTTAAAATCAAATAAAATCTGTAATATTTGGATTTTTTAAATAAAATTTTAAATTTGTCGATAAATTATAGTAGATAATAAATTGCACCACTTTAATTATAATTATCTCAAATAGGGGGCCTGGAGGCGGGTGAGGCGACAGGAAAAACCAACTTTTTTTCGCAAACTTCCATTTAAATTCTGTTTATTTAATGTCATTATAAACTATTATAAATTTGGTGTGGGTCTCATGTCTAATAACTGAGATATTGGTATACATAAAATCCACCAGCCGCCACTGTGTTAAACTAATGCGCGTTTGGGCAAAGTCACCTCACGCGGGTAAAGTAACACCGCTCTACGGTAATATTTTTTTTTTTATTTTAGCAATATTTTTAATTTGACGTTCTTGCAAATTAAAAATTATAATTATTGCTAACATGAAATTAATAAAAATATACGTAGGTAGGTATTTGCTCGAGGTAAAAAGTTTGTATTGTTTTGTGCAAACAATTTAATGATTTATTACGTCAAATTGTTTTCATTATTTAGTACATTCTTTTGAAAAAAAAAACATAAAATTGCTTTAAAACATCAAAAATCCGACCTAAACTTTAAGGACGGTAAAATTCTCGTAAGAAAAAAAACGAGAAGAAGTCCCGAGATCCTGCGAGCGTCATCGCAGTCGGCGCCGGCGCACCGCGACGCTCGCCGTCACCGCCGCCGAAGAAGCGGCGTCGCTCACTTGTAGCATCGCATCGAGCGCAGCACGATTCGCTGCCGTCACGTGCATTCGCGGCCGTAAGACACCGCTCACTGATACACTACTCTCTACTACTAGCGTAATTCAGGTTTTACCGCACGTGTGAGATTTTTTGTTTTTGTTTTTTTATTGGTGGTGGCAGTTTTTTGATATGTGACTCTTATGGAAAAGGTTGTTTTATGAAATTTGTTGACGACGACGTTGAAACCAAGGTAAGATACTAGACCCTAGTATGGATTTTTGAAATAAAAAAAGTTATAATACAATGGTAACAAAATAAATTATAAAAAAATATTTCTTCTACTTCCACCTTTAAAAAGCGCCTTATCGTACATGTTTCCATGACACTAAGTGGCCTTTTAAATACAAGTTGACAAGTTGTGGCTTTATGGCGCTTTAGTTACGGGCTGAAGTTAGCAACAGGTTTTTAGTCACGGGCTGAAGTTAGTTTTAAGTTAGTTGGCAGTTGTCAAATGTCAATGACAATCTTTAAAATACAGTGCTTTGATACTTTGTAAAATAATGCTAAATTTGAAAATTATTTTATTATCTCCATACAAATATACAATAGTAATTTATGTCATTAGGTTAAGAAGTAAGGCTTTTTGTGCTAAGCTCAAGGTTTGAAGGCCGACGCGTAGCGGAGGCCTACAATTGAGCGAAGCACAAAATTTTTTCTTCAAAGCACTATATAGGTCAATTTAATTCAACATGAATGCGGCGTAACCTCACTTTTTTAGAATCTCATTTATTTATTATCTAAAGATTACATTTAATGTAGCAATAATAATTATTATTATTGCTTTTAGAAGCAGTAATAGTTTGACAATACCTAGCAACATGATTTAAGTAGAAATGGATTTTTGCTATTACATTGAATTCAATTAATTGTTTAATAAATAGGTAGGTACCTATCTAATTTCAATTTGTTTGGATTTTTATTTAAAAAATATGTAGTTTGGAATGTTTAAGCTGTCTTTAAAATTTAATTTCACTGAAAACTTAAAGCAAATTAAAACTTAAAGATAATTTAAATTGTAGAAAAAGAATCGTGCGTTTTCTTGGTTGCCTAACCTCACTTTTTGTTTTATTATTTATATTTAATAATTTAATGAAAAATATAAAACATTAACAGTAAAACAAACAAATTAGTTCTTATTATAAATAAATTAAACCAGTTTAGTACGTTAATTTCTTAGAAAAGGATTAATTTGTCAAAACAATACCCCTAGCGAGAAAAAATCGAACGTTTGTACTTACCTTTTGATTTCGCCGTAGTAGTGCCGTTTACTACATTTAACTGATAAAGCGTTAAAAATTTTTCCTACAGTGCCCATAAAACATTTTCTTTTCTTTTACTGTGAAAAACTGCTTCTATATCGATTGTTAGTCTATTTTTAAGAAATAAATTTTGATTTACACAATAAAAATTGAGATTTTAACGCAGTTAAAAATTTCTAACTCGTATACAACTGTCACTTTTTGTTCCTTTAATATTTCCACATTAAGAATTTATAATACTTTGTGATAATATTTTGCAATTATAGTAATAAAAAAATCAAAGAATAAAATATTTTCTATAATCCTATTTTAAACTAATTTTAATATTTTAAAGTATCAATAATTGTTAAGTTTAATTACAATAATAACGGGCACTGTTAAAGGTTAAAAATTACGTCAAAAATATTTATTGGGATGGTTACTTTATTTTCGTATAGATGTCAGTTTATACAAATATTTAATTTAAATAATTTCTTAAGTATTATATTAAGTATTAGTCGTAGAAAAAGTATAGTATGCGACTCGTTTATAAACTTTTCTGCCCATGGCTCTAATTTAATTAAACACTCGCTATAGCAAGCTCGCACGTGCCTAAATTAAATTTGTGACTAACATGGCGTTTATCACACTTGATACATAATATACTAAAACAATATATTAAAACATTCATAAATTTGATACGATATGTTTTTATAAAAATATTTGTCAGTTTTTAAAATACCTAAAAAATAAAATCTTTGTTTACGATTAGGTACTTTATTTACAGTTTTTTTTATTAATAACCTTTCTTACATAATATGTATATGTATATGTATATGTATATGTATAATATATATTATAATGTTATACCTATAAATACAATTATAAACTAAATTATATATTTTTGCGTAAAAATGCAGTTACAAAAGGGAAAATTAAAATAGAAATTATATATAGCACAATAATAAAATCTTATTGGTTATTTTTTTCGATTGGCACGTGTACTCTAGGGTGTCACACGTTTACCCTTGTTTTGTTTTTTTATAAGCTGAAATGCAATTATGTGTTTTTTTAGATTTTTAAAAAAATATTTAGAGGTCGCTAAATCATTTTTTATGAGTAAACGGCTTTGTTCACATTTTAAGCCTGTTATTTTTAAAACATGGATATTTTAAAATCTAAAACCCATTCTTATATTTTATAAATAACATGTATTCAACTCCCATTTTATTTCTTTACTTTAACCGGTGAGCGAAATCTTACTTCTGCCACTAGTGGGCGAAAGCTATAGCTTAAGTTAAATTTGGAAAAAAGAAAGGTTAAAACTAATTGACAGCTTTCAGATGTCAGATAAAATATGGTGTGCGACTTTTGTTCCAAAGAGGAGATAACACTCGCGCGTTACCTCACTCGCCACGCTCGTGCGGCAAACTCCATGCACAAGTTATCTCCCATTTCTCCCACTAGTCGCACAATGTACTATTATTACACCCATTTTATTTCTTAACTTAAACCGCGGTGGGCGAAATTGTACTTTTTATATCATTTCGCACACGGGCTGAAGTTAGCTTTAGGTTAAATTTGGAAAAAATAGTGTTAAAACTAATAATCATTGACAGCTGTCAAATGTAAGATAAAATATTAAATAAAATTGGCTTTAAATTCGTTGTGGTTATTAAATAAAAGATTGTGTGCGACTATTGGTCAAAATAGGAGATTACACTCGCCTGCTATGCTTGTGCGGCAAACTCCACGCTCAAGGAATCTCCGCTTTTCCCACTAGTCGCACAATATACCTGTTTGACTATTTATTCCCCCTTGCACTAAAAATATATCTTATCTTCAAGCGTCTATAATTCAAGCTTTAAACAAAATAGTCAAAATTCTACTATTTGAAATAGTTATTTTCACTTTTAAATAGTTTTTTAATACTTAAAAAGTTAAATTTTAACTAATTTAAAATAAGTCACCATCTTTGACTGTTTCTGAGAGTAAAAAGTAACTAATTTTTTTAATCGTTTTTAATTCTTGCCGCCCTAGTTAAATGCATATAGGATATACATTATATAGCCTATTATAATAATGATAGTAATAATAAAAATAATATATTTATTTAGCCTCTGCTATTAAAAACAAGTACACATTTACATTATTTTTACTTTTTAAATACATATATCACAACTTTTTTGTCACAAAATACTTTACAAGTTTTTAAAAATATTTAGCTTTTTAATTTTTATAAAAGTGACAGTAGAGCACCGGTTTGACATCCGCTTGACAAGAGACAGACCCCTGTTCAAAACTTGGATGGGTCAATAGTTTTTTTAAATCTACTAATTTGACTTTTTCATTCAGTAGAATTTGACTAATTATTAGACTAATAATTAGTCAAATTCGTAGATTTCAATTTAACCCGTAACCGGTACGGTACGACTTTTAGGTCATAAACGGTACTAAGGGGTCTGAGAGACACCTGCCCTTTAAAATTATAATTTACATTATTTTTTTTTATCTGAGGCTTTGGGGATACTAGGAACTATATATAAAGTTAGAATATCACCAAAAATAATATCTAAATAAAAGAAAAATTTAAACAAACATGTACAAAAAGTGCAGTAGTGCAAACTTTGTGATTAAACTATAAAAAATATTAAACCAAACAAAATAAAACGATCTTTATTTCGAAGAATATACCTTATAAAATAACATAAACAAAAAAAATTCAAATATATCTTTTTTTAACAGCAAAAATAACTGCTTCAAACTATAGCTGATTTTTACAATTATTTTTTCCATAGTAACTTTTTTGTTTTTTTTTTCAAATTCTTAAAAAATTTCAAACTCTTCTCTATCTTACCCTATAAAATTATTTTCTATAAACTCTTCACAGACAAGTCCTGAATCGCTGCTGTGATTAATAATCACTGATTATCTTCAACGACATAATCACTATAATGGTTATGTAGTATATACTGTATACTACACTGTAGTAGTAACTGTGGTAACTGTGGTAACTGTAGTAACTGTAGTAACTACAGTCATCTATATCACTTATATCGCTGTCGATTTCATAAAACCACTACATTACAGTTTCCTTGAAGCCTTTCTTATCACTTTGGACACTTTTAGAAAGCCCTTGTTGCGAATCCATAAGGAATTAATTGTTTTATAAAAATTACGTAAACGGTACTCAGTGGTCTATTAGACACCTCAACACTTTGACTCGTAATAATTTGTCCGTTTGACAAACTTGTTCAAAGTCTGAGAGCATATTGATAACTGCTCAACTTAAAAGTATTGGAAGCGACAGATTTTTAAAACAAAGGGTGAGGGTGTGACAGCGCTTTATTCGTTGATGAGTGTCTCCCAGACACCACAGTACCGGTTACGGGTTAAAAAAAGTATTGACCCATCCAATAAAAAATGATTTAGAGACCTTTAAACTGCCTTGTATATAAAATGTTTGCCATTCGGCTGAGACTTGTCTTTTTGTGCTTTGCTCAATTGTAGGCCTCCGCTAACGCAAACTATTATAGGGTATTTTTAAAGCAAGGTATACAAAATTTATTAATTTTTTTATTTTATAAAAGTCTATTAAAGTGGAAAAAATGGCTGAAACATGCCGAAACTTGTAATAAATATTGTCCCTTTAATAACCAACAATACAAAGTATCAATATTTGTTTAAATTTTTTAAGTGGGCTATTTTTATTAATTAATAATAAAACTAACCTTAAACTATTAAATACAATATAATACATAATATGTATATTAGGGTGGAGTGAATTTTTTTAAATTTATTAATTGATTTTTCCTATATTATTAATTGTTGACTAAAGGCGTAAAATGAATAAATATCGAAAAAATATTCCAATTTTTTAATATCTTGAGGTGGCGCATCTGTCTCGAAGTTTTGAAAATTCTAAAAAAATATTACTTTTATCAAAGTAATA